TTCACGGCAAAATTTGCCAAACGAAAGGCAACAGGCTATAAAGTGACCGTCTAGTCAACAAGAAAAAACTATCGGTAGGGGTTCAATAATGTTTTTAAAATAACATTTGCTTTTTCGAATATAGCAGTGGCCTGTCACATCAGTATGAACTCATTAAACCTGGTTCAAAACCCGGACAGCTGCCAGCGTTAATTCCACCGAATAAATCACTGTCATGGGGATACGTATTAAGCAAACCAGTTGCACTATCCGCTGGATAGAGATTTATCCAGTGGGTAGCGTTATAAACCTTTTGAGCAACTGAGCGCTGATCGCGCCGGGTAAAAGTGTATTTTATTTCTCCACTCTTGGGTCATCTGGCTTGGGAAGTTCGAAATTCGTACTGTATGTTAAAGGACACGCAAACGAGAGATTAATTCGTTCAGTTCCGCTTAAACAGATTTATCGCTGAAAACCGATTACGCGTCGTTTTTGCAGTAAAACGTGATGTATAGTAAAATCATCAGTCTGTTGGGGACCGTGTAATCACTTTTTATCGCTTTGCAAGGCGTTAACATGCGATAAGAATCGAAACAAGCTAAACTGTAAGTGCACTTGAATGAATTAGCTTAGAACTTAGCTAAGGTGCTGGCCATACCGCGGAGTTAATTTGAGAGTGCTTCCTTGGTGTTTTTGTGTAGTTTAGATCGTTTGTCTTGTTTTCTTTGTTTTTTTTTCTTTACACAGCTACCGTAACTCTCCAAAACAATAATTGAAGACGTTTTGACAGTAAGATATCCGAAAAAACGTATAACCACGGATGGACAATCGAATCTAGTAATAGTCTACACGCCTCCCACACAGACGCTTTCAGTGGAGCTCAACTTTCATTCCTCCCCTAAAAAAATTATGTCAGGGTATGGTAATCACATCATAACTCGCTAGGTCAGGCTGTACCAGGTACTGCAAATCTAGCCAATGAGGTTATAGGGCGGTGTCATGCTTAAGTAAGTATATTGAACTATCATTTTACTAGTGCAGCCCGGTCCAGTCCAGTCTGCGAAATACAGTGTGCCTTCTCTCCCTCGTCATCAACTTGGTTGGATCTCGAGCAAAATCTTTTCAGGCAAGTGATTCCTTTTGATTATATTCCCTTTTATTATTATTTTTTTTCTTACCACCAATAAGTGTTTTTATTCTGGGCCACTCTTTCATTCGTCGTGTGCACGATTTTCTTCGCCGCAATTTCAATACGCACATTGCAGAAATTTAAGTTTAGATGGCGATCTGCTCATTAAATGGCATGGGATTGGAGGTAGAACGGTTTCTAAAACTAGGGATAGTAGTTATAAAATGATGCTTTCCAGACCAACTCAAACTACTTTTTCCCGATTATTCCCGTTGTTTCCCTTGTCATCCGCCATAAAAAAATTTTCCTGTTTAATTTCTGTTATTATTTTTGTACTAAAATCCCAATTTTCATTTTTTAAGAAAAAAATTTAAAACAGAAATTAATCAGAAAAGTTATGCAATACTAAAATATTAAACTAATTAGTGGAATAATAATTTTTACGATTAATTTCTGCTTTAAAAAAATATATTTTAAAATTAAAATTTCAATTTCATCAGGAAAACAATGAAAAAATTGCAAAAAAATTTGATATAACACATAACAGAAAAATAACAAAAATAATCGGGAAATGGTACTTTTGAGTTTATCTGGAAAGTATCATTTTATAACTACTCCTACAAATATGCGATAATTTACATAACAGTTTAAACAGCTGTCTGTTTTGACAGAGTTGTGAATATTTAAATCACTTGTAGAAATATTTGAACCAATTCACTTTTCTTTACACAAACACAAGCACAAATGTGCAAACAGAAAAATTACACAAATGAGTATATTTCAAAAGTGAGGATTGTGATTGGCTGTCATAGTTTCTTAATATTTACTTGGTTCGGAAAAAGTAAAATTGATTTTTAAAATTAAAATTTTCAAGAAAAGAAATCATTCCACAAAGTGAGTTTATCACGGACATTTTCATCAGCATCATCCGGCACTGATTACGAAAACGATTGTTTTTGTCTGATTCGAAAATCACAAGGAGATTATAGAGATGAACCATTCTATTACGATGGTATTTCTGATGAAGAACTTCATCATCGTTTAAACATAGAGTTTGAGGAAAAGGTTAATTGGGAAAGATATGATATTGGTTTTAGCGAGGAAGATATTAATTTTGTTGCAAAGAAATATATCAAACTTAAACCATGGAGTGTGCTCGACTCAATGATTAAAATTTTTGAAAGGCAAAAATCGTTTGATAAAAAGCATAAATAGTTGCTAACACCAAATCAACATAAATTCAGTTGTGTTCTTCATGATTAACCATACAGTAAATATTTTCATGAAAGAGATTATTACTAGCCCTTCGGGGCTGTTTTTATGTCGCTCCAAACAGTTTTTTATCATTATGATACAAAACTTTTTATTCTTTTCTAGTAAATTAGGGTCGATATAAAACTTTTCTCATTTTAAGAGTTAAATTTGGANTTCGAAAATCACAAGGAGATTATAGAGATGAACCATTCTATTACGATGGTATTTCTGATGAAGAACTTCATCATCGTTTAAACATAGAGTTTGAGGAAAAGGTTAATTGGGAAAGATATGATATTGGTTTTAGCGAGGAAGATATTAATTTTGTTGCAAAGAAATATATCAAACTTAAACCATGGAGTGTGCTCGACTCAATGATTAAAATTTTTGAAAGGCAAAAATCGTTTGATAAAAAGCATAAATAGTTGCTAACACCAAATCAACATAAATTCAGTTGTGTTCTTCATGATTAACCATACAGTAAATATTTTCATGAAAGAGATTATTACTAGCCCTTCGGGGCTGTTTTTATGTCGCTCCAAACAGTTTTTTATCATTATGATACAAAACTTTTTATTCTTTTCTAGTAAATTAGGGTCGATATAAAACTTTTCTCATTTTAAGAGTTAAATTTGGATTGGAATAGGACAATGCAAAAGATTATTACATACATAGGTTTGTATTTGAAGCAATAAAAGGTGTTATCCCCGATGGTTTTGAGATAAAAGATACAAATGCTATTGGAAATGACAACAGACTAAGTAATCTTGAATTAGTCACTCACAAAACAAAATATTGAATTAGCTCTAAACTAGGAGTAATCGGAGCTTAGGAGAGTGCGTTCGATATGTTTGCTAGGCGTACAGGTAGCAGTTTAGGGGAAAGGGTGGATGGTTCTTGCGATAGATAACTATGATTATGGCATATTTTGAACGTAAGGGTTGCGTACAGCGAAACCTCGATTTAAATTGTTTATGATAATGAAAAGGTTTTGAAGGCTAGTGATCAGCGTGATATCGTATGGTTCGTCTGAAGTGTTTGCCTGATTTGAGGAGACACTGGCCAGAGTGCTTCGGGTGTGTAAAAAGAACTTTTTGTTTTACTGGCGCAATAGATGTTCTACAGGGCGCGGTTGTTCGGAGGCCGATCAACGCTTAACCCGGGTTTCTTTCTCTTTTTTTTTGTTTTGCTAGCTATTAAAGAGGAATGGTTTTGTGCACTTGATAAAAAAAATAAATGTAGGAAATTTGTTTTTAGCAGGGCTGTGTGCCATTTATCTTGCAGGATCAGTGTTGCATTTAAAATATGAGAAGATCACTGCTCATCACCTGGGAGAACAATGCAATATTTCCCCCCCCCCGGCTTTACTCTTCGAAAGCATTCGTAACCCTGAAGAGGACCACAAATAAAAGTTTTTAAAAACAACCATCTTGCTCGATGATGCCTTTGATTTTTAAATTAGTATTGCAATATCAGAGGAAATCGTCTCGGGCCACTTTCTTGTCACGCTGATCAGACTCGCATTTCTGTTCACCAATTCAATGTCGCACTTCAGCAGTGCTTATCTTACTGTGGTCTGGACAGTTGTCGGTATCAGAGTTGGGACACGTAGATATATTTTTTACCAACTAATATAATTTGCAGTCTGTCTACTTTGAATTGAATAGCTTTCGCATTGGCGGCGCGTGCCATGCCGCTGAAAAAGGTTATTCTGATGCGCAAATTCGAGGTCTGGGTCGCTGGAAATCAAAGTTTAAAGTCGGAAGTTCTTCACGCTAATTTTAAAATTTATTTGCTCACGTGTTGAAAGTACATCAGGCAATTCGGCTGCTACTTGGTGGGCTTAAAAAAACATTTTTAGGTCAAGAGAGGTACTTGCATGATAACTCGCTAGGTCAGGCTAGCTGTACCAGGTACTGCCAATATAGAAAATGGGGTTACAGGGCGGTGTCATGGTTAAGTAAGTATATTCAGTATATTGTGGTATTTAGCCAATAATTCTCCCTTCTCTCCCTCGTCATCAACTCGGTCAGATCTCGAGCAAAATCTTTCCCTCCTCCTCCCCTTTCACCTGCCTGCGGGTTTTTTTTATTTTTTTATCGGTTAACGGTATTTTATATTTCTTCTTTTTTTATTCATTTTTCTATTCAGTTGTGTAGTTCGTGGCGGGTTTTTGTCGCCCCCAGCAGGCTAATCGGTTTTATACATTTATCGCTGTGTTGTGATTCTGTTAGCTTTGATTTCATTAAACCTGCCACAACCGTGGCCAGATTTATCCCTCACAGTTATTTGTTTATATTTAGATCTGTTCCTTATCAGAAAGCATCGTAACCCGGAAATGCAAGCAGAGCTCGCGCAGTGTTGGGCCTTGTTTTGAAAACACGCCTTGATACAAATATTATTTACGTCAATTCTGACGGAAAAAAATTAGATGATTTTTCAACACACCCATTTCTCTCCCTTTCTCACTCCACTAAGCTACTATTCATGTTGTAATTTAACTTTGTAGCATCAATTCAGTGAAGTGACCCCACGACACGGATTTTATCAACGATCGTTTTCCGTCATGCTGATCATGGAAAAGAAATTGTTCGTCTTAATCTTGCTAATCATCGGCTGCCCTTCAGTTTGCTAGGCTAGTCAAGGGGGTTTTAGGATCTGCTTTAAAGAAACTGAACGCAGCTCTCAGTGCCAGGGACCGTCGCACACGTGCAGTGGCTGGAGCAACAGTCCTGCATGGTCTGAATCATTTCGAGACGACACCGACAATAGAGCTGGAGGCTGCCAGTACCAATGGAGAATTGAAGCACAGGGGACCATCAACCCGGAGATGGAGTACCGTCTCTGTTTTAAAGAAACAGAAGGGAGCTCACAGTGCCAAGGAACCAGGAGCTCGTGCACTGGTTGGACCCCCAGTCCGTCCTGGACCGACCGCTTCCGAGATGACACCGACAACAGAGGCGGCGGATGTCGTTACGCTTGGAAGATCGAGTCACGTTGTCCTAAGCCGAGGGAGTCCATTCAGGTGTGTCGCGTATGCTTTAAGGAAGTCGAGGGCAGCTCTCAGTGTCAGGGAAATCGTCAAAGTTGCAGCGGATGGAGCGCTCCGGGCAGTCCGAATCCCTCGTGGACCCTGCCTTTCCGTGATGATACCGACAACCGTGGCGGAGGTTGCACTTACCAGTGGTTTCTCGATTGTACCTCGGTGAAAACTTATATCTTCTGTCCAGGTGATCGCCCATGTGATTGAAATCCTACAAGAAACAACTTTTTTTTGGTCGACAACTGCAAAGGCCTGTGAGACCGACATTTTTTCGTACTAGTCTGAAAAGCCAACGGCAAGATATATTTGTTCGAAATGCCAGTTTAGTTTAGCTCATTTTCACTCTTTCGAAGATTAAAAGTTGCGCGATTTCCTGATGTAATTTGGCATTAAATTAAAAACAGAAAAAAAGGGTGAAATCATCCTTAGTTTGAGATTTGTTGAGAATAAGTAAATGCAATACTGTCAGCTTGCAAATTAATGAAAGGTAAATAATTGTGTCAAACCTACATCTACAACAATACTTTAAAAGTAATGTCTTTTTTTCAAAATGCATAGCCTTGGATGTAATACATTAAATTTTAATGAGGATATGACACGAGGAAAAGGTCAGTTCCTTGTTGAAGCCATTAGTTGTTACCTTTACTCCCATTTACTAAGTGCTGCTGTTGAGTCAAGCAAATTTCATCAAGGAGCACTAACCATAACAAAGCGTTGATGAGCTTTGAAGGCACAGCAATATTATTAAAACTCGAAAAAGCTGGCCAAATTTTGTTCACGTTTCAATCCACTTCCATCCTTGCCATCCGGAGAATCAGACCCAAGGAAAAACGTTTCAATGCCTTACTAAAGTCCTCAAAAACAAAACTGGGCCATAATTATCTCTTCTTATCTCTTGCACTTGCTCGATTATAATATTATTCACACCTCACTTGATGTTAATGGAGTCATAACGACCCCAAAACGTCATGTTATAAATCCTTCAGTTTTGCTCTTAGTTGTTTGTTTTAACAAAACAAAACTCTGCTTATAAAATAATTATTTTTGGAATTTAATTGTGTTTGAACACGTTTTAGCAAATAGCGTGACATAACCCCTGTAAGCATGACTGAGCTGAAGCCATTAACTACACCACCAAGTTTCTTGGTTTCATGATTGTAAAATGATATTTACCACGAAAAACATCCGCTTTCGGCATTTCATACAAGAAGATGACAACATTTTGAGCACTATTAAAGCTAACAATTTTTAGTTCCATCCCAGGTTTAATCGCTTCGCCTTGTGACTACATTTCACCACGTACTGGAACTTGAACAAGATCTGTTGGATTGGTGTTCCAAACACGAGGGCATAACTTAAAATAACCCCTCCGTATCCATGCCACCACCCAGAATATTTTATGCTTCTCCCAGAATCTCGATTTTAATATTATTATTTTATTATTACTCATTTTTTTTCAAAGGCGAAGAATTCCCTAATACGTTGGTTATGAATGGACACTCATGCTAGCCCCTGAGTACACTGTAAAATCACAATCTCAATTATTTTTACCCAAAATTTTGACCTGGATGTACAAGATATCTAAACGAATCATTAGACTCGGACAAGATAGGTAACCTCTATCAAAAAGGGCTAAGTGTCAATTAAACTATCCTAATTTGTTGACCTCCAGAGGACTTGAATTGTGACGGACTCAGCGATTTTCATCAACTAAATACACCAATCAATATTAATCGAAGAATTATCATCGCATGCATCCTTGCCTATCGATAATTGATTTTCATTGATCGGTGAGGCAAAGAGAGGGACATAAAAAATATTTTCCGCCGCAGCTGAAGGAGTGGAAAAGGATAGAAATGCGCATTTACTAAGAGTTTAGCAGTTAAGCCGGCGTTCTTAAAAGAGAAAAGAGTATGAAACAATGAACTGGTTTACTCTGAAACCACGTGAAAGTGCCTTTAAAAAGGTCCTTTTTTCCGCAATAACTAGATATAGAACTGACAACGCAAAGGCAAATGAGAGTTCGAAGGCACGCGGAATGGGCTAAACGTGCCTTCCGGAGCTTGATTTCCCGCTCCACCATTGGTCAAGCTCGTTTATGCGTCCATGCGCAGGATTGCGTGATGCGGGCAGTCGCTTATCAAAACTGCAGCCAGTGCTAGGAGGTTAAAGAACGAAAGGATTTTAACAATTACTGACTGTTTCTTTAAGGGGTTGCTTTTTGACACGCCTCCCTTATTAAGAGTAGTAGACTAAGAAGAAATTACTAAGAGAGACGGTCATGATACGCTGTCACGATGCCAAAAAACAAATGGCAGGTCTATATAAAGGCATTTTAAACTCTTAATTTGATCTCCTGTTACAATTAAGTACAGAGCTGCTGCACGTTCACATTGGCCTTCTGATTATGCCAAATGCCTGATTCGTCATCTACATTTTGTTTGTTTGCTTGTCTGTTTTTATCAAGGGAGTTTTTACTTTTGCAAAACGTAGATACCTAGAAAGGAAAAAAAAAATAAAACTAGAAACCATTAGCTCATCCTCTGGACGTCTCATATTGGATATCTGTTGAAAGCGCGAATCGTTTACGTGATAAACACAGTCTTGGCTCATGGATGACGTAGTCGTGCCATGGGTCGTTTGGAGGCACTCGAATGGCACTCGATCACTCACTCACTCACTCACTCACTCACTCGATTCTTATTAATTTATTCATTAAAGGGGCTGTGTCGCGGTAGTCCAGTTCATTTTGTTTAATTTTGCCAATTACTCGCCCTCAATCGCTATGGAACTTACAGTAAGCAAAGAAATTACATGTAAATGATAAAATCAGAGATCCGAGACAAACAAATATGTCTCCTGAGCAATATTTTTGAAGTTGCAAGCAGCAAGGATCAACTTTGAAAAACAGTTAGGCTGAACAGTTTTCAAAAATCCTAATTTCAGTCCGTTTCAGTCTTCTTCAGTTTTGCCCATCCGTGGCATCTGTTGTTTCTGTTACGTTATTTTAACCTTCCTTTAGAGTTTTAAGCGGTTATTTTTATGTTTCTCTTAATTTAACGGGCATTTCGTAATTCCTAATTTGGCTGAATTTCGTGACAAAGCTCCTTTAAAGTCAAATTAAACACTTTACTGTTACCTCCCTTACTTAGTATTACTTTTGTTCCAAGTGTCTTTTACGCATATGTTTGGCATATTCTAGAGGGTACTTGTAAGGGGTACATTTTTTCCCGACACAAAAGAGTAGCCAGCCGAAGATGGGTTTCGTATAAATGGAAATATTCTAAAGAACACTGACAATATCATCTGCATGGAATGATGGACTTGGAATTGTTAAAAGGACTTTGAAATAATTGAGCGTGGATCACTGCTGTATATTTGGACGAATTGTGCACATTTGTTCCCGATATTACTTGATATGGAGAAGATGCGATCGACAGGAGTGTGAAAGAGCTATCGAAGCCTGATGATGGAATTTCGTTCAGCGAAAAAAGCGAATAAGCCAAAGTTAAGAGCCTTAGCTGCAAAGAAAAGATCCTCGAATTGTAAAGCGACGTTGACCTTCACATGAGGAAGCAAATTATTTTACAAGTAAAATACGTTAAATAAAATGCTGCGCTGATAACAAGTTTCTAGAATATTCAGGTACACATGCAATCGGACATTCGACTGTGTCGGATTTGGATTCCTAAGGTCAGAACACGTACAGCTTCGGGCAAGGATAAGCGTTAGTGCTATAGAGATGCCAAAAAGTTGCCGAAGAAATGCTCACGAAAAACGAAATGTTTTTTAAAACCGATACTGAATGCCAAAAAACAGATGCCAAAAACCAAATGCTAAAGAATGTAAACATGATATATCAAGTAACCAGCACACAGAGAAAGTCATGAAAATTATAAAAAAAAAAAAAACTAAGGAGGATCCTTTCCGGAAAGTGAATATGTGAATATGAATTTCAAAACGGAATGTTTCTCAAGCCTTCCTGAGTTACTATAAATAAATACAGAGGTGATAATCTTCAACATTTGGTTGTCAAAAATAACGAAATTTAATCGCGAAATTCAAGAGCAGTGGCACTTTGCACCCATGCTCGTTTACGATTCAATTCATCCATGAGCTCGCTCCTAGGAGCCTTTGATTTTCTTTCTTCATACCCCAAGGAAGATTGTTCAAGCCGGTAAAATAACATCCGCAAAGTTTAATTAATGTTCCCTAGTCTAGATATGAGCTGTGTGATTTTCGCACGATAAAAACACCTATAGCTGTAATAGAAAAGGCGTGTTAGTGCTGCAATTCCAGAATATAACGTGCAAGAGTTATAAGTTTTTTGAAGGGTAAAAGGCACAGAAACCTTCTCCTCTTCAACGTTTGCGTTTCCTCTAAGGAAGTTAACATAAGCGAGGAATTTGCTTGTATATGACAATCACAGCTTCTTATGAAACATGTAACATCTTTCCCAAAGCAATTTATAAAACCTTACAAACAACAAAAATGAACTATGAAAAACTGTTAGGCTAAAAAGGTTTTAAAAACCGCAAATGCAGTCCGTTGTATTCTTTGTCTCGTCTGTGTTCATCCGCGCCTTCTTTTGTGTTTACACTGTTTCTTTTTAATGATTTGCGCCTATATTTTTATGTTTCACTCAATTTGGTGACAGCTTCCACAGTTTGAATTTTGTTAAATTTCGTGACACAGCTCCTTTAAGAAGCAATTTTTGATACACACAGCATTTGTTCAAACAATCTCAGTTGAAAACACCAACAACCACAAATTGCATTGTGCTAAGCTAGGCAGGTAGCAATAGACCTAGTCTGCTAACGCTCTTCCCCACTATTGTTAGTGGGGAAGAGCGTTGCGTGACGACACTAAAAACGGCTGCGTAGCAGACTACAATAGACCCTTCCTCGATTTTTTTTTCAAGTTTTGGTTAATGCCAATTAGCAAATATCCATTCGCACTGCTTAGAAGAGCGCCCTAACATTTGGAAACTCACCAAGTTTAAACTGAGCGAGCAAAGACAATTGCCTCGGAAAGTCGTGAAATCGAAATTTTACAGACGCTTGTATGGTGGGGTAAGCCTGTCCCGATGGTGCTCGGCAACTTTTGGAGTAACTTTTTGCGGTTGTAGCAGCTGGGGCAATTTTTTGCCTTTCGATTGTTCTGAGCAATTTTGAGCAAAATATAAGTTTCGAGCACATATCAAGCAC